ACAATTTTCACGGGTATACCTACAATTTCCACGGGCATACATACAACATTATTTTTGCTTATATAATTATATGAAAATTGTAACAACTCAGATTTTTAATTATTCCGTAAAATTTATACTAATATTATTTACTCACAGTTAGAAAAATATACGATTGATTTTGTATTACTATGTGTAATTTTATAAAATAATATAATTAGTAAAAAAATTTAGGGGTCAAAGTATAAATAAATAATAATAGATAAACAATAATAATAATAATAGATATGGTAGTAAAATAAATAATTAATTTTCTATTAGTATATGATAGAGTGTAATTTAATTAAAAATTAATTTATTTATATAATTATATTAAAAAATTGAGTCAAAAAATAATTATCTTAAATATCTATTAAGAATAAGAATGAATCTTTGTACTGATTATTGAAATCTGCCACGTATCAACTCTCCCCCTATAAAAGGGAGGAGGCGTCCGCTGGAAAGACAGAAAAGAAAAAGAAGGAAAGAAGAAAAGAACGAGAGAAAGAAGGAAAGGGAAGAAAAGAAAGAGAAGAATGGACAGAAAAGAAAAAGAAGAAAGAAAGAAAAGAAAGAGAGGAAGGAGAAGGAAAAGTGAGGAAAAAGAAGAAAGGAAAGAATATTGGAAGCTGAGAGAGTCTTTGGTAGTAGAAAAAAAAAGTGAGATATTAAAGTTAAGGTGAGTTATATTATACCTTGAGTCACCATAATATATTTTACGTATATTTTGACTTACCATAATTGATTTTATACAAGTTATATTTTATAAATTATTATAAATTATATTAATATTTCAATTACGTGGATTTTTCTCTGATGCTAAAAATGAAATCCATAGATATGTTTGATTAATTTTTAAAGAATATTTGAGTATAACCTTATAAATAATTATGTTTTGTAAGTACCACTACGGGAGTCTCACGCCTTGGGAGACTTAAATAACCATTGACCTCTGTTTGGTCACTTTTGTGGCCTCTATTGTTATGGATCCATTGACCTCTGTTCTGTGCGGAGCAAAGTGCTACACTATTGTGGGAGCCACATCTATAATTCGTGCGAGCCACCTCTTGAATCTGTATCTCTGTTCTGACTGCCACTCCTGTGACCTCTGTTCTGTTCTGTTCGGTACTGTGGTTATGGTTATTTATTTACATAATCTCAGTTTCGCTACTTAAAAGATCATTTATTTAGACCAAGTGATCTTAAATATTTCAGTTATATAACTATCCATAATTATTTTGTGTCCCTTATACTCTTGGTATAATAGTTTCGCTACTTAAAAGATCATTTATTCAGACCAAGTGATCTTAAATATTTCAGTTATATAACTATCCATAGTTATTTTGTGTCCCTTATACTCTTGGTATAATATTTCTCACTCTGCCATGTGCATATAACTGTTTACCAATTTTCAGGAAATAATGCAGTTCAGAATTAGCTTTTGGAAAGTCTTAAATGCGGGACTGAAGAATAGACACACACAACACTTTTATGATATTTTTATATGTAAATATTGGCATTTTTAGTCAATAAATTTTGTTATAAAAATAGAAGCTCCGATGATTATTTTGGTACCCTCACTTGAATATTACTTCCGCTTGCGTTTATTAATTTGTTCAAGAATTGGCCGGAGGTAACTTCAGTTACTGGTCATCACGATGCTTAATCCTTGGATACGAAGAGCGGGTCGTGACAGAAATTGTTTGTATGCCCATAATGTCCTAGTGTATTACGGGCATATAGTGGCGGTGTTTGGCAAGATTTGGTTTTGGGTTTTTTTATTTTTATTTTTTCCACTAAAAGACAAAGGCCTTGTTTGGTTTGTTTTTCAGAAAAATTTTTGAAAAAAATTATCTACAAACAAATTTTCAAGAGTAATCAAACCAAATAAATTTTTCCAAAAAAAACTCAAAATTTTGTTTGGTTACCTATATTTCAAAATCACTCTCTCTCTTATACACATGAAATCAATCACTTTTTTTAAAACTCTCTCCCCAAAACAATTTTCCAAAATCATTTCTGGAAAAAGACAAACCAAACAAGTTTTCGTACTTTTTATCTCAAAAACTACTCTACAAACACAAACCAAACACATCCAAAGTTTTTGCAAAATCAAAAAAAATAAATCCAAACAAAATATCACATCCAACCCCATAATCATTTCACTTTTTCTCTCACAAATATCACATCTAACCACAAAAAAACCCAGCTATCTTTTCAAATACTAAAAATTTTTTATCCAATAATATCCTACAACTAAAAAAACTTACATAAAAACCCACTTCCCAAACACCCACATACAATTTATGAAAATATATGTAAAATATATTGAACAAAAAGGAGAAAATAAACAAATAGAAAGAAAAATAAAAACGAGAGAAAATAAAAAAATAAAAAGAAAAGAGAGAGGAAGATGAGATCATTGGATCGTGGAAGGATGGGTGAGAAAATAAAAAAGTAAGAGAGAGACGCGGAAAAATAAAAAATGTACATGTAAGATATTTTTTAAAAAATATATTTCAACCGTTACTTTATAAGTTAAATAAATTTAAGCCATCCAAATATCTTAATAAAGCAAATACATATAGGATAAATTCAAAAATCATCCACCTTTATTATATAGATTTTGATGGTGTGTACATATTGGGATGTTTATAAATACACTTCAAAAATGTCATTAGACACTGACCCTATTTCACAATGATTTACCAATTTGGGGATCGATAATGATACGTAGCTCAAATTTTGTGGCTCAAAAGTGGCTCAAATGGCCAAAACGACGTCGTTTTGAATACAGAACAACATAAAAATGGCCAAAACGACGTTAAAAAGTTAAATATTTATTTTTTTATTAAATTAAATATTTATGATAAACACTTCAATTTTAGTACAATAATACATTAGCCTTTGAGCTTTTTTTTTTTTAAAAAAAAAAAAAAAAAAACTTAGAGACCCTTATTAGAAAAATCATTAATGATTTAACTACTTCATTCTTATTTGGCTAAGTTTAAAAAATCAATAAAATAAGGAACTTAAACTTAATTTTAATTGATATCAAGTAAGAAATGTTCACCACATTTATAAATTCCACCAGCAGTGAGTTTTTTTTATATAAAAAGTGTATATATTGATTAGAATCAAGTAAATTGTGTTATACTAGGGATTTTTTAATTTTAATAATTTTTTATATTTTCTGTACTAATAGTGTTAACATTCCTAGGTTCAAAATTTGTCGCCCACTTTAAGCTATAAAATTATATCGAAACAGCATGAGAGTGGCTTAAAGTGGGCCAAAAGTCTGATTGGGCTGACTTCTATATTAACAGTCCTACGTTCAGGCTGAATTTTTGAAGAAATACAATAAATGTTAGTCTTATAATTTATAACCCTTTTCTAAGAAAATACATATATTAAAAAACAGTTCTGTTACTGTATATTTATGTTTAAAAAACTATCCAATATTGAATCAACAATACTACATTTATTTAAATTTTTATTAACAATCTTATTAAAAATATACATGTCTGAATATCATTGGATGATTAAATATCATTATTTTTTTTTAACTAATCACATTTGGCCTCTTGTATTTTTAATAAGATTATTAACATGTGTATAATTATTCATATTGAATTGGGCTAGTCTAGGATTTAGCCTTGAAAAATGATGGGTCAAATAGTAATTTTATATTGGTAATTATCATTTTAAAATTTTTATTTAATAATTATATTATACTTTCCTTATTAGATATGGTTATTGACTTGTTTTTGGGAGTTAGAATTGATACATTGAACTGGGGTTGGACTGAACTCTAAAATAACATTCTTATAGCGATCTCGGTTGTCCCTTTACTGTTCTGTTGTATTCCGGACTCGGTTCCGTAGAGTTGGTAGTTGTATCTATCTTGTTGTCATCCTTTAAATTCCATTTGTTTGAGTTTTAGGATGTGTTGGGCATGTTTCGAACAGGTGGGTTGAACCTTGGTCTGAAATCTTGTTGCCAGGTTTTTTGGTCGTTCCGCTCGAGCGGGCCTTGTTGCGCTCGAGCGAAGATTGCACGCTCCCAATTTTTTATGTCCCTGCAAAACTTCTGCAGGTGTGATTTTTACGCTCGAGCGGTAGCGCTCGAGCGGGTGCTGTGGCGTTCGAGCGGGTAGTACTTTTTTGTGTAAGTTCTGGGAGGGGGAAATCTATGCTCGAGCGGACTGGTTTTCGCGCTCGAGCGGATGTACTTTATTCTTGTGTCTTGGCGCTCGAGCGGGCCTTCTTGCGCTCGAGCGTACGTAGTTTTTGTTCTTGACGCTCGAGCGTTGTGTTCTCCGCTCGAGCGGGAATGTCGTATATCAGTTGACAGTTGGGTATTTTAAAATCACTTTTTACATTCTCTCTCTCTTACTTTCTAAAAAGCTATTTTAAGAGCTGCTCTCTCTAGAAACTCCCTTTTCTCTAGGGTTTGGTCTAGTTAGAGTGTCTCTCTATCCTCCGGCCTTTGTAAAAAGTGTGTTGATCGTCAAGGGCTTCGTTTTGACCCGAGAATCGTGGTGTTTGGAGCATTTTCACTTTCTTCTTCTTCTTCGTTTGAGCTCTAACTTCGAGGTAGGGATATCCTACTCTTTCTTATGAGTTTTGTCTTTGAATTTTAGTATTTTGATGAGTTGGGGGTTGTTGGGTAATTTTGAGAAAGTTTGGGCCTTTGTATAAATTCTACAAAAGTTGGGATTTTGTTTATATAAACTTACATGCATGTTTGTCATAGAGAAATGGGATCAATATTGGTTTATTCACTACTAGAAAACTGACCTTTTGCTACTATATAATTTGCGACCATCTGATTAGCCGTCGCAAATAATGAATTTACCCCTTTATTTTCTTCTATTTATTTTCCCCTTTTCTTTATACTTGCCCTAGCCCCTCCACAGACACCGATTGTTCTCTTTCTCTCGCTCTCTCTCTATCGGTCTCACAGTAATACGACTGGTATGAATCTCTCTCTCTCTCTCCCTCTCTGTCTCCCCCTCAATCTCGCTTTCTCTCTTTCTCTCAATCTCGTGCTCTCTCTCCTTTGATCTTCTCAAATTAGCACCTCTACTACACATGTATATGTACCTCTATATATTATGTATGTGTTGTGAATATCAATGTTTGAAATTGAATTTATTCTGTTGAGGTCCGAGCAAGAATCGAAGTAGACGTCCTCAACTTCCTCAAGATCTTGAACTCTTCGACTCCGACAATCTCATATTTCTTTGGTTTGCAATTTTGCTTCAAATCTCTACTCTCGAAATGTGTATATATATATATATATGTGCGTGTGTGTTTTTGTGTTAAGCATTGAGTCACTGTTGATTTTAATTTGACAAATTTGGGGATTTTTGAGTGTGTTATAGATCAATAGAAGATGGAATAATAGCTGAGGGTTTGTTGACTGATGTTTCGTGGATTTTTCTTTCTCACTCGTTTTGCACGAGGTCTTTGATGAGAGTTAACTAACACTGCTGAATCTTTCATTAGAGGTAATAATAGGATCATCATCATCTCTTTTTCATTTGCCTTCTTAATCAATCTCTTGAAAAGTACACATTGCCTCAGCATATGTATCCTTCAATTTAGGCTATTAGGTTTTTGGCCATTCCATTGATGTCTCTTTTTTTTGCATCTCCCTGCTTAGTTGTTTCAATGTGAAATTTGCATGGTTTGTCTGTTGGTTGTTTACTTCTTTGGATTTCTGGAGTTAAATAAGAATGTACCTTGACTTTGCAGATACGATAAGAAAAAAATGAGTACATTGGACGTAGCTAGAGCAAAGCTTGGCCTTGCGGTTCTGTATTTGAACAAAGCCGAAGCCAGGGACAAGCTATGCAGGGCAATACAATATGGTTCAAAATACTTGAGTAACCGGGAGCCTGGCACAGCCCAAAATGTTGACAAATCAACTAGCTTGGCACGGAAAGTGTTCCGTCTTTTCAAGGTCAGGCTTAATTTCATCTTTTGGTAATAAAATTGTCTTTTTCACTCATCTTCTCTGGTCTCGTAGTTAAGTACCTTTAAATTGTGGAGAATTTTTTTTTTTCTATATTTATTCTTGCTTAATGTCCATTTATTTGGTGTATAAGGGTAACTGTTTTGTTATTCATGCTGTGAAATGACAGCTGACCTCAAAAGGTTAGATGAAGAATTTTCTGGGAAAATCAGTAGGGAAAAAAATAATTCTGATTTGAATTCATATCTGTATGGCACTTTTATTCTTGGGCTTATCTTAGGTTTGTTATTTATGCAGTTTGTTAATGATCTGCACGCGCTCATTAGTCCAACTTCTCCTGTAGCACCCCTTCCCCTTGTTTTGCTGGGAAAGGTACAAAATGGTTTGCTGACTGAATGTTTTTCTAATTAATTTACACATGATTTACTCTTTTGTCATTTTCTTACCACTTTGCTTTTTTCTCAGTCCAAAAATGCACTGTTGTCTACTTTCTTGTTTCTGGATCAAATTGTCTGGCTCAGTAGGACAGGCATTTATAAGGTATGGAATGAACTTTCTCCTCATGCTGGAATGTACTTTTTTATTAGATGTAATGTAAGGCATGCTTGCAATATGATAAATTGTAATTGAAATTTTGATTGTTCATAATTACCTATGCTTATATTAAAGGGCTTGAGTGGAGTGTTCTGGTGTTCCTTCTAAATGAAGAAAAAAAAAATTAAAATTGTCCCTTTTTATTGTTAGTGTTTTTCCGGATTTATTATTCGACAGCCATGGTTAAGTCAGTTTGAGTTTTCACTTGTAGGAGAAGCACACTCAATGAAAGTAGAGAAGATTTTGTGCAAGGATAAATCAGAGTACCAAGAAATCCTGGTTTTTGAGGTTCAGCATTTTCATCTCCTAGTAGTAGATTGTCTTTGTAGTGATGACTTGCTTTCTGTTTTTCTGCCATTTATTGTCTTATTTATGAATTTCCTGTTGATACTGGTTCTTTTATTTGCAGTCCTCAACATATGGGAAAGTTCTTGTGCTTGATGTCATTGTTCAGTTGACTGAGAAAGATGAATGTGTCTATCAGGAGATGATAACTTATCTTCCCCTTTGTTCAATTCAATCCCCCAAAAACCAAAACTGTAATTTTCATAAATCATGGGTTCCATAGTTCATGATGAGTTTACTGTTTCTATTTTTATTCAAATTTAATTTCAAATGACATATAGCTATACTTAGATTATTGAAATTATAATGCAATTAAGTGTGAGGAACCTTTTGAATCCATAGCAGCTTCTTTTTTTCTTTTCTTTTTAATTGTTTATATACATTGTATTGTGTGGGAGGAGAAAGGGGCTGTACTCCACGGTTTATTGGAAGAAAGGGGCTGAACCTCTAAACCGAATCTTGTGACAGTGATACAGCACTACAATGTGTATCAGGCTACGAATTAGAAGTGTTTTCTTGTGACAGTGATACAGCGCTACAATGTGTATCAGGCTGCGAATTTGAAGTGTTTGTTTTGATTTGATATAGCACTAAAATGTATATCGTTATCAATTGTAAAGTATAGAAGTGATTCTATATTATGTTGATATAGCACCGAAATGTGTATCTTTCACAAAGTGTGGGAATGGTTTAAGTGTTATTGATACAGCATTGAAATGTGTATCCCTCAGAAATTTTGAAAGTGTTTTAAAGATGAGTCTAAATCTCATTAAGTTATTCGGCTAGGTGTTGAGCCTTGTTTTCAAACTTAAAGTTGGAAAAGATATGAGAAATGAAATGTAACATAGACTTAATGTCATGAAATCGGAATGTGATATATGTGGATGTATCTATGTTGACCATCTATCAACTGCTAACCTTTTAGTCATTGTTCATGGCTGGTTTAATGTATTTTTACTAGGTTGTGGCTCACCCTTTATGGGACATCATTTTCAGGTACAGGTAGCATACCACATCCAAGGACATAGCTTGGGAGGCTAGAGGCAGACTGACTGCTCGTTATTTGCTTTTTGATGTATTACATGTAAATTCAAGCCAAGGGCTTAATATGTATCGAGTTAGCACTCTTCTTTTTGTAACCAAGTGTTAACTTGGAAAGCTGTAAACCCGTAGGGCATTTGCTTTTGTTGTTAACATGTAATACTTTTGTAAAGAACTACTCTGATGAATAGAAGAATATTTATCTTTTATACCAATGCATGTCTAAATTGTTGGGTTTAAATGTTATTATTTTGAGGGTGTTACAATTCTTATGCACATGCCTGATGTATGAATAATTAATTGCCTATTGGGTTGGGTTTTTCTTCGGTCTTCATATGAATTGGAGGGTGCTATTCGAATTAGAGTTCAATGATCTGAATATATATTATCACGCCCTAGATTTATAAGATTCAAATTCTAGAATATTAGTGATAAAGAAATATAAAAATATAAATCATAAATCGCCTTCCCTGTATATATATATATATATATGAATATCATTCAAAACATATTCTATATTCTTTATATACATCTTATATTCATCATCTACGTGGCATAAATATACAATATGTAAATCAAAACATCTATATAAATAAAAGCCTTAGGCCAACAAACCAACGAGTTCTTCTAACTCACATCCACATTTCCACACCAACTCAAGGCTCAACATCATTTACTGAAAAGATTCAATAATGTGAGATGAACATATAATTCAGTAAAAAAAAGATGCTCCAAAATGTTAGTTCTGTTTGAAATGTCAAAGTAAAAAAGTATGTAATTTTTCAAAACTATCCCTTATAAGTGATTATAAATATATTTAAGAGTTGGAGTGAATGGATATTATTGTAATTAATGTTTTGAAATCTGAATTAAAATGTAATAATTATATGTTTTTCAAAAAAGTTGAAACTTAAAAAAATTTAAAAAAAATAAAAAGACTAATAAAATGAGGGAAATGGAGTACACAAATAGAGAATTTATATAAAATTTTTGTGCATAATAATATATGACTCAATGTGCATTTTCATTTTAAAAGAAAATGCCCAAAACAATAAGTTTGATTTACAAGAATAATAGGGAACTAATGTCATAAATCCAATTTTGAAAATTTTGGAGCAATATTTTGGAGTCACAAAGATAATTATTTGAAAAACTGTACTACCTCATATCTATTTGTTTATATGTTTACTAGTCCACCTGTCTATTCACTCTAGTCCAATCCACGAAGGGATGCCGGCGTTATTTCTGCCGCGATGTCTATCACAAGTCTCATCTCGTTACCTAATTGTTCATTTTTAGACAACAATGTATAGCTCATTCATAAAAAAAAATTAGTTCAATTTGATAACCATAGCCATGTTAATTTATGATATTTAGTTTTAAAAAATGAGTGAAAAATATTATTTAAAAATTTAGCCATTCATATTTTGAAAAACAAAATGCAAACAAAATGCAATAAACTGACGTAATTATAATAAAGTCAACTTGATTTTTTTACATAAATAATTTATACATTATAATGAATAAATAAAAAAAGAATGATTTGAATTATTTAATTAACACTCATTATAGACATAGAAACAATTCATCCATTTTTTCAAAATAATATTATGAAATCAATCTCGTAATGTGTTTCGCAGAGTGAAGGTTCGTAATGGTAGCAAAGGCCTTATCCTCTATACAAAAAAAAGAAAATTACTATCAGTGAGACAGAAGAAAAAAAAAATTATAAAAATATAAAAAGATGTAAATAAGACTTATAAATTTTTATATGAACCTAACTATAAAATCACTTGCAACTCCATATATTTATAATTTTTTTTCACTCTTCACTTTAAATTCTCCCTACCCCAAAAAAAAAAAAAGGTCATGAAAGGATTCTGATTCGTTTGAGAAAGCGTATGACCAAACGTGACAGAGACACGCGAATATGCGCACACTCCCTCCCCAAGATTCGTGTCGCACATTCGCATCTCAACAAAGTCGAATTCGAATCACCTTCTCATACATATATATATATATATATATAGAAAAAGTTAGAGATCATGAAAATTTTGTCATGAAAATGATCATGAAAAATTTATGATCCTTGGATTACCTTGATTAGTGTGTGGTGTTTCATTCTAAATGTAATCCAAGGGTCACGAAACTTTCATGATTATTTTCATGAAAGGTTTTTCATGATACCTAGCATTGCTGTATATATATATATATATATATATATCTGTGTGCACGTATATGCATATTCACCACCTTCCCATGTTCCAGGTTCTCTATCTTTAACCTTTTTGCAACTTTATTACCCATTTAGGATAACTTGATTCTGTTTACCATTTAGGATCATTTGATTCTGTTTATTATATCTTTAAGCTTTTTGCAACTTCATTACCCATTTAGGATAATTTGATTCTGTTTATTTCCTTCTTTTTTTTTGTGTACTGTTGTGTTTCTGTTTCTAGTTCTTGACCCACTTCGATTTTGTTTTGTTTTGTTTTTCGATTGGATATTGTGAAATTTTGAATGGCCTTTTCTAAAGAGAACCCGGGAAAAAAGAGAGGTAGTTTTGATGTTGATTCAGTCCTTATGTTGGGTGTGTATTATAAGTTGTCAAATATGGTTGTTGCTCATAAATAGTTTAGAAAACATTAGATTACCCACACTTGCAGGGATGGGCCAGAATTCAAAAAAAAAAAAATGTGATAAAACAATTTTCTTCTTTCGTTACGATATTATTTTAGTTATAACTCATAATATCTTTACCTTTGGTTATGCCTTATGTGGTATGTGGTTATGATTTTTTTGACTCAAAAAATATGGAATTGTGTTATTTTCTTCTTTAATTAGGTGCATATATGGTATTTGAGAGGTGTGTACGATAGTCTTTCCATCTTCAATATTATTCTCTAAAATGTGTCAGTATATTATTCTACAATTGATTTAAACACAATTGATTTAAACAGTGTTGATTCGAAGTTGCAAATTTTATGCCAGGAACATGTAAGAGTTTCTGAATTAATTCCGGATATGTTTGGATGATATTAATGGATTTTGATTTCAAAATTTTTACTAACTGCATTAGCCTTGAGACTGCGGGATTTTGCAAGTTCATGGTGTCGTCTTGCTCTTAATATGGGATGGACTTAGGGGACAACTAGTAGGGGCCATCATCACATCTACAATTTCAAAGAAATCCCCCTACTACACTACTATTTCTAAACTATATAGGTTCGCTTCCTCTAGATTTAAAAAATAAAATAAAATAAAGTGATTGACCCTCTATGTTAATGTATACCTAAGCTTGTTAGTTAATTTTGTATTCAAGATTTTATTTTTATTTGGAGGATCTTGAATAATTTGTGGTCTAATTACTTAATAAATGTGTACATGTTGGGACCATACAATTTGTTACTGAACATGGATATTAATAACATGCTTATTTATATATGTTTTGATGTTATTTTTCATTTTTTATGCAGGCAAAAATTAATGTTGTAGTCCACATTTTTTTCCAAATTTTTTGTCAGTGTTGATTCTTGTCAATGTTAACAACATCTACGGTTGATTGATGTCAATGTTAATAACATCCAGACTTATATCTTGGATTGGTAAACAAAGTGCTTCACGATTCTTACACCACTTGCCAATTTTGTTTCTGTTACAATGGTCTAATTGTATCCAAACTGGTTGAGAGAAAATCTAATGATAATACAATGATAAACTACAAAATTTCTCAGATCTCATTTTAATTGAGTTTGAGTTATTTTTGGTTTTTCATTTTGTGAAGCTTCTCTTTATTTTCCTATGTGTTGTTGTTATTGCCATTGTTGTGCTTTTGTACTGTATATCTCACATGTAGATGGGGCTATTCACTTTCACTTTTTCTTTTTTTTTTTCTTTTTTAACGATCTATTGTAAAATCAACTTTACTTGCTTGAAAAGAATAAATTACTAACAACTCAGTCATTTTGTATTGTTACAGTGATAAAACAGTAAAATTGTTTGTTGCCTCCAACTGAGACCTGCAAGGTCTTTGCCGGCAATCAGTCAATTGGACTGATTGCCAAATAGCTTATGAGTTCCCAGAATACATTGAACCCCAATAGAGGTCTGGAGGGTGTTCATGGAGTTCATTTGGTGCCTCACTCACCATTTCTGTTGGAAGAGATAAACCAACATGGGCATGTCCATCAGGCAACATGTGCAAGTTCTACTGTTGGAGCTAATGAGCATCTAATGGTGCAGTGAGTGAAGAAGATTTTCTCATCCATTTACTCATGTTTCTATATATCCTATATATTAATACTTAACATGATTGGTTGATCCACTCAAAAGTTTGTGATTTCTCAAAAATTTGATGCTTGGCTGCTAGTTGTAATTATTGAGCTATTTGCCACTCACAATTTCATTTTGTTGACATGTTCTTCAGGAGAGTATGGGAGCAAAGACCTGCATGCTTGAGACCCATCCAATGTCACCTGAAAGGTAATGTAAAGATATAGATTGTTTTGTTCCTATGATATCCTATGATTTCGTTTGTATTACATGGACTTGGGTAAGGGTGTTGGGTATGTGTCTAAGCATCATCAGATTCATCTAATTCTTATATTCAAGGACATATATATAGATTCTCAGATAAAATGGTTTTACAAGTCGCCTTAAAGCATTATGCATAATATGGGAGTTTTATGCATATATGGTAAACCCCAATTATACTAGACATGCTTCCTATCTAAATATCCAACTACACATGTTGGACACATATCCCATACCCTTACACCCGAGTGTCCAACATGGGTTCTCCACTTATTTAGAAGAGTGCATGTAACCTAACGATTGCTTGATGTGTACCCTCAAATCTCTTGTAATAACCTCAAAAACGTGTGCTAACAATTTTTCTCATTTTTATATTAGGTGATAAGCATGTTGCAGAGACAATTGCTAATGTGATCACTTCACTTCCTTTTATTGTTCTTGGAACCCAGGCCCCAAGGCAAGATATTACCGTTGGTTTGCATAAAAGCTGCCAAAGTTATTTTGTTAGTATTTTATTATGTTTGATTGTTTCCTTTGCCAATGATCCAGGAAGAATCTGAACTGTAAAATTTATGCTAATTCATTAATTGGAGTTGGAGTTGCCTCTAGTTTGTACCATGCTTCAAGAGGAAAACTAAAGAAGTATATGAGATGGGCCGACTATACTATGATAGCCACAACAACTATGGTAAGGTAGTGTAGTTAAAAAGTTAAACCACAGAGAGATATATTATTACCAATTTTTTTCAAAACGGAAATGATATTCTTAATATATTGAATATTGATTCCTAAACCAAATAATGTACTGGAATTATTTGTTTCAGTTTGTGTTCGAAGATGGAGAAGGGGCACAAATTTGACATAATGTTCAGTTCACTCCCATAGTTAATCCTTAAATAGTAGGTGTGGAAATGGCTACGATATGGACAACATGTGCATGCATGCATGAGCAAATCATTAAGACAAACCATCTCTTCCTACCCTTGTTTTTCCCCTTCAATCAAAATTCCCTATATCTTTTTGTTCTTTCCTCTTTAAAAAGTTTTTGTTTGCAATGGAATTTTACAATTTCCCATGCCCGAAAACCATATCCTAATACAAGGCATGTCACAGAGTCTAGGACTGTATGAGACTAATCAGTGTTATTGAAGATTAAAAATAATAGTAACATTTGGAAATTTTGGCCACGTACATGTGTAGCCTAGCCAGTAGTGTTTCAGAACTTAGGTCTCCAACTGTGTTACATGGACTCTTCTATTTCTCCCACAATACTCGTGTCCACCGGATGTGACATGGGTAAGAATGTGGGACATGTGTCCGACATTCGTACCCAATTTAGACACTCAGATCCTTTAATTTGTGACAATATATGAGAAGAAGAAACTCACATTTGCTAGTAAAACAATAATTTTAGCCTCTCACATGAATTAGATACAGAAATTTCATATTTTTCTAAATCCTATTCAATTTCAAGTATATATTTCTATATAATTTACAACATTTCTTCTGAGAATATTATATAATATGCAATATATATGTGTATATGATGCGTCCCCACACCCATATCCAATTTTGGATATATATTCCAAGATTCTAAGATTTAAATTTATGAAGGTCTGACGCTTGGATACACACCCACATCCGATATGCGTACCCGAGTCTATGTAACATAGGTCTCCAATATGGATATTATGCCTTAGTGAAAATATCTCTGCACTTTTACAAAGTTGAAATTTAGCTTCAACTTGTAGCCATATGGTACTAAATTGCTTTTGCTTTGGTGGCGTATTCTAATATCAATCCTTGGCTTCTGAAAGGTGTTATTGCCTTTAGAAAATTTGGGTGCAAACTACAAGCTAGCACATTTCTTCAGATTTCTAGAATTGCTTGAGAGACACTCTAGCGAAGAGGTTCTCTTTATGTAGAAGAATTCAAAGCTGTTTTGTACCTCAATTGAGGATGATCTGTTGCTGAATTTATACCCGAAGTGGTTCTCTTTATGTAGAAGAATTCAAAGTGGTTTTGTACCTCAATTGAGGATGATCTGTTGCTGATTTATACACTTTTTCCTATTAATAAATTTTGGGTTTCACACACCCAATAAAGAAGTGCTTATTCAAGTGCAAGGTGTTGGAATGGGTTTGAACTTTAGAGAGTGCTATTAATAGTTGAAGCTTTCTAAGCTACTACCCTAAATATAATATGCTATAACTGTGTACTCATAATCTTTATATCATACAAATAGGACTTTAATTTGACTATGCATATCATAAGTAATAATGTGCACCAGCAAAGAAAATGATTATTAACAACTCATTATTTTCACAATTCTGAACTATTGCACTGTGGAATCAAATATTGTGGGGCTGATCTCTTGATTTTGATTAGTATCTTGGCTATAGCTTCTTAAATACTAATGATCGGTATCACCTGCTTACTTTGGTCCAAGGTTTTCAATTTGTTCCTGACACACAAATTTCCTAACTGAAATTGTTCCTGCAGTGTCTATCAAGGGCACTGAGGAATGAGAATCCAAAGCTTCTAATGGCAGCATCTGCTTTGATTTTACCGATCCAGCCTCTCATGGTTTCAGCTGTTCACACTGGAATTATGGAGGTAAAAACCTGCACTTTTACCAAAACTATGTATTGACTGTATAGAAATTCAGTTTATCCTTTTCTTTTTCCTTTGAGAAATGTTTTGTTACTGTTTACAAAGTGATGAGTTAAATTGAATTATTAGAGAATTTTGGGTCTGCATTAGCCCATCTAAAAGGCTAAATTGTGTACGGGTATTGAGCTGTCTTAGTGGGCACATCTGTCACTCTTGTAAAACTGAATTAATGTAGAAGTGTAATTTTCATTAGTTGTCATCCATCTATTGCTTAAGCTATGATTAGATTAACGATTGCTTTGATGATTTGATTCTTCAAGACCAAACCAGCTTTCAATTCTTTCTATTTGTTCTTCATGTTTGGAACCTAAAATAGCTTAGAGTCAGGATAAGAACAAATTAATTATGGGAGCTCGGAGACTAGAGAGGAGATTTTTCTACATGGTAAAATAACTGAATGTACTAAATTTTGCCTGCATTAGTATTGAGATCATTGAATCGTTCTTTAGCTTGTGTGTTACCTTATTTTTTTAATATGTTCCTAGCTGGTTTTTAGTAATCATTGCCCTTTTGATCGAATCACTTTGCAGCCTCAGTGGGTTCCTTTGACATTGACTTGTGTCTACCCTCCTTTAGTTGCAATTCTGTTTTCAAGTTCCTAGGATCTCTTTGCTTGTAACTACCTGAGCCTCCATACTTTCTCATCCTCATTGTGCTGCACATATACTTTTAACAAAAGCTATGAGGCACTATCAGGAGCTTAAATTACTTTCTTTTTTTGTTTCTTTTTCACGGCTTCAATAAATTTTAAAAGTTGCCATTCTTTTGACAGTTTCAATCATATGCAAGGCATCTTGTCAAGATCTAGACCAGACACACAGACACATGGGTGTGTGTTTGTCTGCAAGGTGTGATGTTGACCAGACACACAGACACATGGGTGTGTGTTTGTCTGCAAGGTGTGATGTGTGCTTGCATGTGTATAAGGTTCTTAGGATGTGTAGAAAAGCAACTCTTAATGTGATGAGAGAGAGAATGCAATTCTATACAACAGAGAGTTGTAAGTGTTCGTAGATGGACAAATGAGTAGTGCATAGAAATCAGAGCTATTGGTTGGTTCTACACATGAATTGAATTAACACACTTCTTCACCAATGAAACATGAAAATTACCACTGAATTTTTTTAATTGACTTGGCTCATTGTCTTTTTCACCATATAAGCATGACAAATGAGTAGTGCACAGGTGTAGGAGCTATTGGTTCCTATACATGGCTTGAATTGAATTAACATACTTCTTCACCAATGAAACCAGAAATTACCACTGACTCATTTGGGAGTTGGCTTTTTTAGTGGCTATTGACTTTTTATGAAAAGACGTGCGAAAACGTAGAGAGAACGATTTGATAGGCTTTTTGGCTAAAAACCTCTCTTCCCAAATAGCTTGGGTCATTTTGTCTTTTTTCACCAATATAAGCATGAAAATTCACAACAAACTATTTGAATCAATATGCTGCTGCTTTATTTGCATGAAGTTGTCTTATATCTCTTACAGGAAATTTTGTTTATCTACTTGTAAGCCTTGACGAAATTTTTTGTTAGCAAAACTTGTGTGTTTTTCTTCATGCATTGGTTTCATGCCATTTTTTAAACGAAATGACAACTAATTAGTTATTCTTTCCAGGTAGTCTTTGCGAAAAGAGCCTTAAATGATCCAGAATTGAGGATGGCTCACAATGTGCACAAGATGTCGTCATTGTTAGGAGGAGCACTTTTCCTTGCCGATGATGCCTTCCCTCAAACTCCATTCCTTCATGCTGCTTGGCATCTTGCTGCAGCTGTTGGTGTTGGCACTTGTAACAGGCTTCTCGTGTAGCGTAGATACAAACCTATTATGTACATTCAAAAGAACAGAAGAGCCTGCATCTCACAATGCCAAGATCATCATGGACCAGCCTCCAGCAGTTAAGGGGTGAACTCTGAGTCAAGCTGTAAACTTAGATGTTTTGGGTTGGACTCTCGTTGTTGTCTTCTTAGCTTACTTGATACTAGTGGTTTGAGTGTATTGGGCTTCTCTTATCCTTGTCTACTTAAAATGAAGTAATTAGATGCCTTCCTATGTTGTTCAAAGAGCATATAGGTGTGCAATTTAATTTGAGAATGAAATATGTACTAGTGGCAACCTTCGTTGCCTTATCTTAATGACTTCATCCGAAGGAACTGCTATTTAATTTGTGTTGTGATTATAAAGCTGGTAGATTTTGATTTTCCCTTTTATTTTGTCTATTTTTCCTTGTAGTTATTTATTTTTTGTGTGCACTAATCCCGTGCAATGAAAGTTGGAAAACATTAGAGTAAGGAAAATGCTGTAGGTCCCAAATTTTTTACAAAATAAATGACCAAATGTCTTACGTGAGTGTGAGGATCATGTTTCTGTGATTAGAAACCACTATTGGCTGCGATGTAGGTGTGCGCTTAGCTAGTGCTTAAATCCCCCAAGTTTCGTGGAGTATGGATAGCAGCTATATAAAAGGGTCTGGAATCGAATGAGAAACCAGAGAACCTAGAGGAAAAAGTTAAATATGTTCTTTTTCTTTTTCTTTTTCTTTTTTTGCCAGTCAATATAAGATCCCTAACATTGTAGCATTTTCTCAATATGTTAGCAATACAGACTCAGAGTTCCTCCTTGTCATATTGAATTCTGCCTCTTGTTTTGTGTGTAAACTTAGGTCCATTTATAGGCTAGGGCTATAAAGGCCCATGTGAGTTCCAAATTAATTGACTCAATAAAAGAGATTTTCTAGAGAGTTGCAATCAATATAGTAATGTTGGGACTATCTGAACAACTAGATTCATGTTGGGGCAATAGGAAGTGGGAGAGGGCTCGCTGGCTGGTTAGGGTTTAGAAAGAGAGAAGATAGGGAGGGAGAGGAAAGGAGCAGAGAGGGTGAGGCACAAGGCTGGCAAGAGGAGGTAGAGAAGGCGTTGGCGGCAACAAGAGGAGGTGGAAGAGGTGCTACAGGTAGCACGAGATGGGGGAAGGGCTGCCAACAGTATAGAGTTCTAAAAGGAGAGGGAAGAGAGGAAAAACTATTATATAAAAAAAAATTCCATATTATGTTGCAATTTATTTTGATTTTCTAAAACTAAACACCAAAAAAAAATTTAAAAATTGACTTTTAAAGCTTGTTTTTTATTTTTTTTTCAAAAAAATATTGCAGGCCTTCTATCCTAAGCAGGCCTGAAAGTAAAAATTCTCGAGAGATATTGGCCCCGTTTGGTAAAATTGTAAGAAAGTGAGTATAGATTATACCTTAACATGTTATAGTTTACAGCTATGAACATAAGCTGGTAACATGTTTGGTGTGTGAGGTTGTGGATTTAGGGATTATGGATTTAAGCAGTAGAGTACTGTTCGGTAAATAAGCTGTAAAATAGCTTTTTGCTGTGTAATTGTCATTTTTGCCCTTATGAACGTAAAAATTGTAATTTTGTCATTTTCTTCGCTTTAAATTTTGAAAAAGTTATTTTATTAGTGGAAGTTGATATAATTAGTATCCAATTTGGTACATTTTTCCATTACCTCAATTTTTTTTATTTTTTTAATTTTTTGAATATTTAGTGCACAAGGGAAACAAGAAAATGTTATTGCAATAAAAATACAATAACTTATTATTAAGGCAATAAAAATAAAACTTCCTAAATATTTAAAGAACTCCTAAATTCGTCTGCAAATTAACATACAAATATTATGTCTCCTCACTTCCATCTCGTTGTCATCACCTGCAATATCATTTCCATGGTGTGCTTATTGAGACAAAGATCCTTCCTCTTTATTAGGCACATAATCAGTGAATCTATCATAAGAGTCAAATGCAATATCGTGGAACTGACTTCGTCAGATGAAATTATGAATTGCCATTGTTGCACAAATAAGTTTAACTTCGGTCGGCCACTTATAGTTTGGTGAGATATCCTTTATTATCGGCCATCGTACTTTCCAAACCCTAAACGTTCTTTCTATTACACTTCTAAGTGATGAATGTGCTTGGTTCAATTTTTCTTGTGCATTTGGGAAGGGGTTGACCATGTTCAAATTGAGCTAGATGGTATCTTTCTAATTTGTAAGGTGCAAGATATCCTTTTATGTTTGGATATCCTGCATCCACACCAAGTAAAACTCATCTATTTCAAAATTCGAAAATGAAATTAAAGTAAGCAATTAGAAATGTAAAAATAAATATAAAGATGTGAGTGCGATGCATATACTGTAGCAATCAAATATAAAATAGTTACCTCCTTCTGGTTTTGAAAAATTATAACTAGGATTCCTAATAGTATCTAAGAAGATCCGAGTATCGTGTGCACTTCCTTCCCATCCTGGCAAGCAAAATGTGAAACACATATCGAAATCACATGCGGTCATTATGTTTTGAGTCGCATACCTCTTTCTACCTATTAAACGATGTTACTTTTTGGAGATATATATGCTTTGATGTGTGTTTCGTTAATTGCTCCAATACAATCCTATTACAAAATTGAGAATAAAAATATATTTATTCATTATTAGAAATATCCTAACAACATTAATTATATGTAATACTCAAGTTCCTCTTGTAGTTAATTATTACCTTGAAATGAGGATAGTATTTGCGATTGCTTCTAATATATGAATGCACACCATTTCTCAGTTGAGACCTTACCTAATCAATAGACATCATTGTAATAGCTTTTAACACCAGATTGAAGTATTTTGAAATTGTCTCTCCGAAATGTTGAAATCTTTCTTGGATATTTCTGTTTCGAATGTCACCGCCAACAAAATACAAAAAAATTGCAACCTACTCTTGAACCAAGACTTTTTGTCCAATTTGAAAGCCATAGTTATTCTATAACAAATCACACAATCAATAAAATACCTCTCTTTCCATTCGAAAATTTTCAAATATTCTTGTTTGATTCCCTCCTTGTAATTCGACCATCCACTTCCACCCTTTTAGAGAAGATGTCTTACATGATTCTTTTATCAAATAATTTGTCGCATATGTCATTACAACTGTTGCCGCCGTTGCTAAGAGCATATTATTATTTTGTTGGGTTTGCGATGTGCTGTCTTCATCTTTCATCTTCAGCATCTTCATCATCATGATCATCATTCCATTCATGTCACAACTATTACTCATCTCCAAAATACCTACTCATTTAAAGGCTTCTTATTTACTATTACAATAATGAAATAAACACACAATAGTACAATAATGAGAAAGAAATAAAAGCTTAGGAAAGCCACCCACCCTCTACAACATGACATTAACTTATAAAGAAAACAACAAATCAAGTTATAAGCTATGGATGTCTTCCTGAATCTAACTTATAAAATTCTGATAATCATGGAAACAAGAAATGCCTACAAGAACTATGTGTAATATAAATTCCTAAATATAAATTAACATGAACAAGCATTCGGTGCTTAAATCTAAACTACAGAAATCAATATATTTGCTGACGCCAAAGTTCCCCAAAATATGTGAAAATTAGAATAGTATTTCCCATAATTACTTTAAGCCTTGAGACATTATTTGACTAACTACAAATCAACCAAAGCATTTATTGGCCTTACTCACACTTACTTCATATGGGATCACTGGTTCAGTGGTTACAAGTCAGCCTACTATGGGTAAAAAACAAAAACTAGTCTCTATAATGGGTAAGAAACAATTAGCCCCATAACGAGAAAGAAATAAAAAATACAAAAAATTTCATAATAAAGGAGAAATTAAATACATTAGCACATTAGTCTAATTGGTTAAAAAAATTAGAGCATTGGACAATAAAAAAAAAAAAAATTCTTCTTAATAGCCTAGTTAGGTGACCTAATGATTTCATATACATAATCTATCCAACTTTACCCAAAGTGTATTTGTGCAAATGCACAAGTATATTAGAAAAATTATTTGGTATCCATAGGCACCATGTAGTTCAACACATAACGAAGTTTACAAATAAATGATGAGCCATTTTTAGAAATCACTTGTGATCATTTGGTACCATGGAATGCAGAAAAACTGATAAAAATGTAAAGGAAAAAAATTTGGTACCTTCAACTTCAAAATTTGTACAATAAAATTTGAATTAACTTGTGAAGCCAATGCTCTACAACAAGCAGATGCAGTACGACAGCAGCAAATAAGATCAGGCTATATAAGAGGAAAGGCAAACAAATCAGGGAACATGGGACCTTAATAAAAAATTTAGCCTTCACTTGTTTACAGACAACAACCTAAATCTCACAAGAGATTCAACCTTTTTCACAATAACAGCAGCTGGAGAACATCTACATATATATAAAAGTCTTAACTATGCACCTGCCATTCATATTCAAG